AAACTCTTATAGTTAACCTACATTTTCAATCACTTGAATGAGAGAAAATTAGTTTTAATGAATATGAAATATAATTTCTAAGTCACTGTTTTATCAACCAAACATTTGGTGAAGAATATGTTATTCACTTATAGAAGAGAATGAATCATTTAAGTTATTTTAGACCAAGACTTTCACAACTCCTGCATGAATTTAAATAGTTCATCAAGTAGCCAGTTGTTGGCTAAATTTTCTCATTCAGGATAGAAGTTAAACAATAAAAATAGATAAAACAAAAAGAAGAAACCTGTTTGATAACATTCAAGCTATTTAGAAAGATTTCAGGAAAAAAATGTATCAGTACCAGATTGTAGAACCAAACATCTTTAATATCCACCCACTCCACTTTCTTTAGAAAAAGAAAAAATAGCAAACAATACTATAAAACAAAAGAAAAGAGAATGCAATTTTGTTTCACAAGGAACAACTGATAAAGTACATTGGAACATCTCAACTAACATTCAAATGAAATAAAACTATGTCAAAGTGAGATTGAGGTGTATATTCTACAATACTTGTTAATTTTTGTGAAAGATTTTTGACAATAGAATTAAAAACTTTACACAGCATAGCAGTATAATTTGATTTAAATTAGGGTAGTTTGAGAACTTCATTTGCTTATGTGCCATAATAAATGGAGTAATAATGAAAAATAAATTTTCATTAGGTTTCACATAACTAATCTAATTAAAAAAAATTATAGAATTTTAGAAGATTAAATTCTTTTACAATTTCTTTATTTGTGGGTTGTGCATGAATTTCATGCAAAATACTGGTGAAATTAGTTTTAATTATCTATTTTGGTTAGGGCTAACTATTTTCAACATGTTTACAAGTCAAATTTATTTGGAAAGTAATGACATTAACTTGTACTCTCTATTCCAGTTTTAAAATGACTAGAATTTTTTTTACAACACACTGATGCAGGTTGAAATCCTCACAGTATTTAGTATTGCTAACATTTTTTTTTTATTGAGATTTACAAACTATGTTTTGTTCAATTTTGTGACACCCTAGTAAAATCAACTGTACATTGTACTTCCTTACCTGTTTGCTCTTCTCCCCAAAATATAGTTGATTGGTCAATGTATGGCTATTTTAGAGGGTGTAACAGACAGATTAACAGAAGTCACAGAATTTTATATATAGTTAGATACAAAAATGTTAATTTCTTAAAAGCTTCATTACCAAATAGAAAAGGTTTCATCAAACGACTAGAATCAGAATTTACTTTCCATCTATCATAAGTTATCTAGAGAAAAGTTTCAACTTATGAGGACGTTTTGATAATATCTTTTTGTTTATCTCTTCAGTTTATATTAATCTAATTAGCTTCCTAATAGGTGCATCTGTAAAATCTGAATATATTTTGAGAGAGAGAATATATAATACACTTATTGATATACATAAAATTTAACATGTCAGAATAAAAATGTTTTTTTCTCAAATATATATATATATATATATATATATATATATATATATATATATATATGAATATAGATAACTAGACTCGTTTGAAAAACCCTCGAATTTTTGATTTGCTAATAATCAAATCAATCTCGAGGAAAAAAGGTTTTAAAAAAGAAAAAGAGCTACAAACATGAACTTCATAAAAAAAAAAAAAAAAAAAAAAAAAAAATCACACAGATGCAGGTCTGAAGCCCAAAGAAAAACCCTGATACAAGTAAACAACTAACTAACAAAAGCACTCAATACAACCGTAGAGCAGAATTACTTTCCTGGCGATCCGTTTAGGTGAAACCTAGGTAGGTTTGTCTGGCTCACTAGTATATATATATATATATATATATATATATATATATATATATATATATATAAAGCCTGTTTTTAGTTACCCTTACCAATTCTCAACTGATGAACTACTTGATACAACTTAGTTAAGTATAATGTCCTTTCTAACAAGGAATGTTAATTTTTTTTTTTTTTTTTATGCAATAAATGCATTTTTCTTTGAGACTGAAAAGAACTTAGGTGTATACAAAATAAAATTTTTTGTCTTTTTCTTCAAGCATGCCAAATTTAAATAATAAAAACTCCTAATCTAACAGAATTAAATCTTAGACAGCTGTGAAAAAAAAAAAAAAATCATGTGCAAGTTGTGTAATGGATGGTGGCTCAGAATTAGACATTTGAGAGCTGTGTTCAAATTCCAGTTGGGCTTGTTACATTCACTTACATACAAATACCCTTGGGAAAGTTATGGTGAATTCATCTCCTACCCTCAGCTAAGGATTAAATATCAAAAAATTCTTACAATCCAAAATATAAAAAAACAATCTTTAAAGAAAATGTATGCTAAGAATTTAGTAAAAGTGTCTAAGTTTGCTTTGTTAGTAGGTAAACCAAATTCAACAACTACAGACTATTCACAAAAATTAAGATTTTTGATAATTATAAATATTTATTCTAGTTCACACTATAAGATAATTTATATTTAAGGTTCAAGGTTTATCAAACTTATATGAAAATTTTTTTTAAACATTATAGGGATTTTTGAAGAAATATTATTACAACTGAAACAATAAGTTGGCAGATTGAACTAGTTTTAATCCTGCTGAACTGAAGTAATTTTTCACCTTCATTTACCTTGAATCTTATTCTAACTATAAATCAGGTATAGAATTTTCATTTCTGAAATTCATAAGCTATTTTTCAAAACTTAGCTACTTCAACAATTACTTGGTACTACTTGAAGATAAAATAGCCTTTGATATTTATGGTTTAATAAGAACCAGAAAAATATTTATAATAAAAAAAAAAAAAAAAAACACGTTAGTCAAGCCAATCATATCTCAATGCATTGTTATTTCATTAATTTATATGAAAAGTTAGTGTTTTTAGAGCCACTGAAGAATCAGGTCATCTTTCTATGCAAGATAAAAATTGAGATATTTCAACATTAAATGGTATTTATTAATCAAGTTATACATGATGGAATAATGGTCAGCAGCTCGGATTGAGAAATCGGAGAGCCAAGTTCGAATTTCAGTCAAATCCATTACATTCACTTACATACTAATACCCTTGGGAAAGGGTATGAATCCTCTTCTCCTACTAGCTATGGGTAAATAGCAGAATAGACTGGGTTCTATAGACTTGGATGGCAATTGGTCTCCTGCAGAAATAAATGGCAAACTAGTACGGGAAAAATCTGCCTCATCAGTCATGATCACCTAAACATGTATCATGCATGGCACATAACTGACTGAATTCAAGTTATCAGGCTGGAACAAAATAAAGGGCAGTTTTAAACCATAAACTTTAAAACATAACTAAACTCAATACTTTTAGTCAAAGTATCAACCATTAGAAATCAACACAATGTTGCCACTGACCTGGTGGAAAATTTATTCCATCGCAGTAAAAACCAGGTACAACAGGAAACTAATAAATAGCTGGAAGGTATTTTGGGCCTGGCCAGTATTGGCATACATCTGTTGGCATGTACATATATCAAAGGTCAAAGCAGTAACCAGTAGGGGACAGGTCTGGTGAACACCAAGAGTGGGAGCAAGACCTTGATACCTGACTGCATTTTTAGCCAGGTGGTTTGTAAGCCAGAACAGAGGGTGGAGCTAAGTATATACCATTTATGAGCTTGAGGAGACTTGCTCCCCCTATTAGAGGCAAATAAACTTTCTGCCAAGGAATATTGATAGTGGAAAGTAAAAATTACCCATAAATACATAATATAAACTATATTTACATGACCATACATAAATTATGAACATTTATCATTGATTGCAAAAATACTTCATGGACAATTTGAAATTTCACATATGGTCTAAATCTATTACCAGCTTCATATGGTTTGTATGCAATAGTGTGATATCTTGAGTCAAAATACATCCCCACTTTTTTTATTTTTTACTCATGATAAAGATATTTGCAACTTGATGCATCAGTTACAAATAACAAGGACTGATGTGATGATCTGACCAGGTTGAGAGAAGCTGTAATGGATTCCCGTTATATTCTTATTATGGTATAACACTAGAATGTTACAAGTATCTTTTTCGAAGTGAAGATTTGGTATGATCGAGTAGAAAACAAGTTTGTTGACCTAAGAAAACCATGTTGCTGAAATAACTTTTCATCAACAGTATAGACACAATCAAGAAAAGGCTAATTTATTTAAATGAATAAACAAATTACATTGTGTACTCAAACTGTTGATCATTCTAGTCAGAAATTACCATTGTTTTTGCACTTTGCCAATTATTACCACACATATGTTATATATGGAACCCCTTAGCTTTGATGGAGAAGCCTCCACAGTTGCCTTCCTTTCTTCATTGTCAACTTGTAAGCACAACCAGACTCATGAACATTAATTGATTTCGATCTAGTAGGAATGACTGCAAAATACTTGCCCCACCCTATTTTATAGGCAGAAGCACAAATGCATGCTGGTGTTTTTTCCTAGTCAATAAATTAGGCCAGTTCTCGGTTTCATCTGACTGAGTCCTAGTCTGTCTTAAAGACAGAATCCTACATTCGCTCAAGCAAAGTTACTTTTGTGCGTCAACCCTAATTGTTAGTCGGAATGTTTTGCCTTATTACTGTTAACTTGCCTTGTTATTGTTTGCTTGCTTTATATTATTCGTTGCCCTGCTTTTCGCAAACTTTTTCCAATTCTGTTTGTTGGACAGTTCTGTTACTTATTTTGTATTTGACCATTGAAAGAAATAAGGATTTATTAACTGCCAATATTGTTTAATTTTCATCTTTTTTATCCAGTTTATAATGGATTAATTTAAAAAATTTTTGTCAATAAGAGCTGTCATGGACTTATTTCATGTATGAAAACTAAATAGCACTGGATTATCTAACTACAATTTTCTTAGATAGCTTAAGAAAATCTGTTAACTTTATAATAAATAAATTGTATACAAGAATCTTTGTATATATTATAGGTAAATAACAAGAATTCTTACATTTATTGGTCCAGGAATATCTTCAGACAACTCTGATACTTTCCTTGCTCTTTCTTTAATGGATTCAACCTGAAAGAAAACCATTTAAGACATAAGTATAAAAAATAAATACAAATTTAAAAACTACCAAGTTAATTTTGCTAAGTAAGTGTAACATTTAAAAAACAAAAATACAGCTTGGCTATCACATTAAATTATTTCACATTATATGAATTTGATTTAAATTACCCTAATTAGTATTTTAAATGAATTAAAAGTATGTTAATATATCCTTAATGCATTTAATATGTTATATTTTATGGTAGAATTTTATTACACATACTTATCAAAAACTACAACATAGTGATCTTAGCTAAAATCCAAATAAAAAGATTTTCCCCCTATCAAAATATATTCATGAAGCTTGTTTATATGAAATGGAGGACACTTTTACATAAGTTTAATTATAAGAATGGACATTAAATTTAAGTTGATCTATTAAAAATGTTATTAAAAAAAAAAAAAACAAAGAAAAAACAAACGGGCTTCTTTATAGAAAAATATTTATTGGAAAAATATACGTTTTAATAGATCCCTAAATATATATCAGTATTATTTATAATCTATACCCAAGAATCAAGTACATAAAATTTTTTCCATTTTGATTTAGACAAAATATTTGCATTGCAATATACTTTTCAGTGAACATTTCAATGTCTTCTCATTTATTATATCATACAGCTAACAAATGAGTTATATTATTTAAAAAAAACACAGCTTTTAAAAAACAATTTAAAATGTCAGTGAAATATCAAATTTCTTTAGAAAAAATATAAGACACTAAATTACAAAAAAAAAAAAAAAAAAAAAAAAAAACAATTGACACATCAAAAAGTATATATTGCTGACCAATACAGGTGTGAATACAAGCCATAATTAGTTAGTGGCCAAATCAATAAAATTTAACTATAGTGGTAATTTTAGAAGAATAAAAAAATAATTTAGGTGTTCATGTATTGAGTTTCAGTTATCTTATAAGGAAGAAATTTGCATTACAAGTGGATATGATATGGATTTTATTGTAAGTAGCGAAAATTATGTAATTCTTTTCTTCAGCTGCGTCCATAGTTTTGTTTTTTTTAAAAAAAAAAAAAAAACAATGGGTCACCTTGTTAATACAAAAACAATACAAATGAAAAATACTTATATTTTAAGATTTTTCCCCCTTCTATTTATTACGTTGTATCAATAAGGCAGGTCGATTTTAGAACTGTGGTATTGCACCCAATTTGGAAGTGTTAGGGTTTGACATGATAAATAATGACAAAATTTTTTTTTTTTTTTTTTTTTTTTACAAATCATAACCATTTTTTTTCAGAAGATGAATTTAAAGATTAAGTAGAAGTTAAGTGTAGCATTAGAATTTCATTCCAGTGATCAGGGAAAGCCTTATAAAAGTTATAATTTACTGAAGGTTTACAATTTGCATAATGGACAAGATGCATGGCACAAGTACATTATTACTAAATCATTGTGCCTCAAATAAGACCTTCATTTACTTCAAAAGGAAATTATACTGAACAATTTAACTATATTATGATATAATATGCTATACAGTGCAGTAGTTTTAGTGCAATTTTCAATAAACAATGCAAATTTAAAACATTTTGTCATATGTGTGATCAGGAGTATTATTGTGTTCTATACACTTATCTATTTTTTTGTTTTTTATTAATTATGATCTAATAAATCCTATTCATTGAGTAACCATTTTTATAATCTTTTACAATTTTTTTTTAAGTTTTTTTTTTTTTTTTTAAATCAAATACAGTAAAAAAAACAAACAAAAAAAACAAAAACCTGCATATTTTGCTTGTGGTGATTCATAACTATACTTTTAGTTTGACTATATTTTCCATTCAATTTATATGGTATGAAAAACATCAACTTTATTTGGATTTATTCTTGATATAGTAACATTTTGAAGTCAGTTTGTAAGCAAAAGCCTGTGTAAATTGGGTATTTCTGTACATTTTTTTCAGATGATCTTTAAAACTAAATGCTGAAAAATTGGTAAAAGCTATGAATCTAAATTTTGGTGGTTGTACTTATATTACACCAAACCCCAGCTTCCACAATGAATACAATGATGAGAAAAAAAAATCAACCTGCCCTACCTATCAGTAGAACCCAAATTTATTGCTTAGGTTTTATTCACTAAAGAACTTGGCAATACAAACAACGGCAATTTATGAAGCTTTTTACTAAGAAACAAAATCCAACTTCTACAAGAGATCAGCAAAGTATACTCTTTTCAGCAATGATAAAATTCTACATTGAATAACTGAAAGCGTCTTTATAATGAAGAGTGAATAATTATTACACTCCCTTGTTAAATTAGCAACATAAGCATACTCACAAACATTAACTTAGTATCTTTAAGTACAGCAATACATCATTGAAATCATGTTCAGTTGGTGAGTTGGTTTGCATATAAACACAGGCTCACATTAGTACAATAGAAGCAAAGTTATCAGGATAATAGATATTCTCATGCAAGGAATCAATGACTTGCCTACATAAGCAATAGATACAGCTTCAATCTGTACTGGGTTTCCGTTGGAATCTTCATGAGTGATTGTCCAGTGCATTCAGGTTGTCTACAATTAGATTAGATCATCTTTTGATTGTTTAACATGACACCTCAAAAAGACAACTGCAGATGAAGTCAGCCATATTGAATAATACAGCATCTACTAGTCAACTGGCATTGGAAATGAAATAATCATTCATTTAGAGCAGTGTCAGTACCAACTGACAGCAAAGTGCATACTGAATGCGATGCATCCTGTAGAACACGCTCCCAATGAGTCACAAACAAGTGTTGAGAAGAGTGCAAAGGTTACATCCTGCCATATAATTCCATTATTCTCATTACTTTGAGAATTATGAGGGACAGTCCAGTTTGCAAAAATTTCATGGTTATGCAAAAGGTTTATCATATCTAATGACCTGACGGAAGTACCTCTGTTTGAATGCATACATGTGGATATACCAAAGATTGCAAATAACTGGATCACTGTTCAAGATACATTATTAAGGGAACAAATTTTCCAATTATGGAATCTTAAATGAAATTTGGGTTTTTAATGTAATTTTTAATAAATCACAAATTGTTTCATTTTTTTCAGTTTTTTTTTTTCATTTCTTTCAAAATTTAATAACTGTCTCTCCAATGTTGTTAAGCATTTTAATAAATATAATAACATAATATAGTTATTTCCTTAAAATTTGTTTTTACAAATATTTTTAGTTATTTTCCTTATAAAACAAAAAAATAATTAAGAGCAAAAATGTTTACATAAAGAAAAATGGGTTGTCAATTTCCTGAGAATATGTTGGCTAATCTATTTTTAAATATTTTAAAACTTTTCTAAGAAACTATATGTAGCAAATGAGATGAAAAATTCAGGTTACGGCTTGGTCATGGCCACTGAAATCCATTGCTAAAGTGGAAATGGAAGACAGACATTAGTTGCTGTCAAAATTGGTGGGAAGAGAGAGAGAGAGAGAGAGATGAAGATCAAACCAATAAATTCATTTAAGGTCTGAAGTAAAAGCTTCTAAACAACTTGTTTTATCAATATCAAAGAAAAGTAAATGCTATCACATGCCTACCATACAATTTAGAAATAAAGAAAAGAAAATTCTCTGAAAACACTACTCTATGAAATGACTGGTTTGTCTAAGCTTACTGTCACACAGCAATTCTCCCACATTAATAATTGCATTATCTTAAGTGCTTCACTATTATAAACAAATTTAAATTGAAAAAAAAAAATTCCTTTAATAATATTAAGTATCAATGATTATTTTTTTCATATTTATATTTCATAATCTAAACCAACAAATTGCTAAAATGACTGAATAAAGTCAATATAGTGAATCAATCTAAAGTTGGGTTTGCTCCTTAAAAAAAAAAAAAAAAAAAAAATACCCCAGTATCTAAAATTTATGCTAAGGTCAGAGCAGAGAAATTTCCTGATAATTTTTATGCAGAAGAAAATGTTTTGAAAATTGTCTCCATAGTGTTGACATATTTAGGGTTAGCACAATCAAAGATAACATTCAAATCAAAAACTCATTTAAAAAAAAAAAAAAAAAAAAAAAAAAACAGCTCAACTGAAACAGAAGACAATCACAAGTGTGGTTGAGTAAAAAGGTACAAGATGATTTTGTCCTTGATTTTTTGAAAAGGTGCACTTTGACATACCCCACACAAAATGAAGCTATTCATATGAGAACATTGTAAAAAAAGGTGGTGCTATTCCAAGTGTCAACTATGTTAGGCAACTTCATCGACCAAAATTGTTTGCTTGTCACTTTACTGCCCTGAAAGCTAAGCTTACTAATCAATCAGTCAGCATCATGACAGACGAAACAACTATCATGACCACAGCATTTTGAATGTAATTGAGAGCATTTGTGGGGAGTCATTTCTCATTGATGTTCTAACTTTGGGAGAATGCAATCATCAAACTAAGTCAGACAGGAATCTGAGCTGTAACGCACACGGATATTGCATTTGAGGATATTATTGCCTTTGTAAGATTTTGCAGGCTATTGCAAAAAAAGCTCATAAGGAAGTGTTGTCAAATGTCTTTGTTAACAGTTGCTATATGTTGTGCTTAGGACATATTTTAAATCTTGTTGGTGAAGCATTTGATAATGTTACCCAGCTCATTATTTTCATCATGTCAGCCTTTTTTTAAAAAGCCTAGTTGGAAAAAGCAATACTTAAAATGACTTGAAGGTTCCTTGCCTAAAGAACAAGTGAAACTACACCCTGTACCAGTGGCAACCAGATGGAATTCCTGGTTTAATGTGGTCAAATATTACTTATCCTTTGTACAGTTTTATGAAGGATTCTTTAAGCAAGAGCCATGGCCTTGCAGTAGATAGGATTCTAGAATTAGTAGATGATGGCTGACTACATTATGCCTCTTACCATAATTTGTGCCTAAATCTGCATTTTATAAATGAGAACTGCACTTGTTTAATAACAGCTTTGACAAACTTAGAAGAAACTAAGTCTTCGCTTGCAT